CGACCTTCGCCGCCCTTGCTATCGCTCGCCATTCCTTTCCAAAATGCGCCCAACCTTCAACTGGCACAAGACTTCCCATCCCCTTCCGTCCCGTCTTTTCCCACGACGCACGCCACCGCCCCCTCTCATTGGGCGAAGACCTTCTCCCCTACCCCCCCCGTCTCTGATAGGCGCGCGATTTATTTCGTCCCCTTCCCCTACTTCGGCCAAACTGCCTATTAGGCACCAATGGTACTATTTGCCTACTAGGTACTACTAGTCCTACTAGCGACATTAGTTAGTCAGAGTCTGTGTAGACTGGAAACTCCCCCCCCCAGTATAATGCGAATTTCTCACCCAGGAAAAACTCCGCGAATATCGGGGATACATACCTTGACCTTCGGGACAACAACCTGATGCTCTACCACTGAGATAATCGACACTTTAGCGGTGAGATATCGTGAGCGAGGCAAACGGCTTGCCCCACCTCTCTGTTGACTTGGCTTGCGGCAAGCGAAATCGACACATGGTGTCGATCTTCTCTTGTTGTCGTCACGCAGGACTCTCTGGCATGCATAGGTTTTGGCTCAAAACCCTCCTAGTAATGCACCATGTGGAGATGTACAGTGGTAAAGGCGTCATTCTTGGCGAAGGCGCCACTGAATGTAGCCACGTCTCTCGCCATGCCAGCGGCCCACGTGACCAGACGGTCGGTAGAGTCATGTCATATTGTAGAGTGACACCCTCGGCGTGTTGGCCGCAACGGGAAGATGTGCGCTAGAAATTGTGAAAACCGGGCGAATTTTCCCAATTTTGAGTGTATACTTCGAAGTACGCAACATGCGTGTGTAGGCGGCGTTCATTACTGCCCACTCCTTGCCCCGTCTTGGGTGAAGGTTTCCTGATGCGATGCGCTCTGAACACCATTGCTCATTCCACCATCTTCGTCTTACGTCGAGCATGGTATCTCTAACGCAAACGCTGGCCATGCTTGGGTTTGCCGCCGTCGCCCACGCCCAGATTCCGTGGTTCTTCGAACAAGAGGCCCAGGTCGAAAGCATCTGCAACACGGACGAGTCTAAGAATGCAGTGTGCTACCAAGACATGGAAAAGGTCAAGTTCGCCAAGTCGGCGGCCGTGGCGCGCCTTCGCATTGGCAGTGCGTGGTGCTCGGGGTGGCTCTTCGGTTCGGAAGGCCACCTGATCACCAACAACCACTGCATTAACAACGAGGCTGCGGCATCGCGCACGACTGTCGAGCTTGCCGCAATTGCCCCCGGCTGCGCCGATTCTGTCTCGATGGGCAGCCACCCTGGCGTGATTGCGTCGACCAGCGTCACGTTGATTCTGAACGACGTCAAGCTCGACTTTGCCCTCGTCAAGCTCAACCTCGTCAATGGGTTCGACTTGAAGCCGTTTGGCTACCTCCAAGCGTCACAAACTCCCGTGCAAGTTAACGACACGGCATATATCATGGGCCATCCTTATGGAAAACCTCGCCGCATTGCCATGGTTAAGGACGGCACGACGCCAGGCCGCATCACCACCACCAACTACACCGAATCCATCCAAACGGATTGCTACAACGTGGACCGGTTGGGCCACAACCTGGACACGGAAGGGGGCTCGTCGGGGTCGCCTCTCATGGCCGCAAAAACGAACACCGTTATCGGCGTCCACAACTGCGGTGGCTGCAAGGCTTCCACGGCCGACTACGGCTCCAACTACGCCATCAAGATTTCGTACATTGTCGACATGTTGCGTAGCAAGACCCTCCTTCCCAAGGACGCTGTCGCCCAGGACCCGTCGCCAACCACGACTCCTTCGACTATCGCTCCCGTCCCGTCCAAGTGCTCGTCCATCAAAGACGATGTGGACTACGCCGGCTTTGACCTTGCCAATACGAATCGTACGAATGCGGGAGATTGCTGCGCTGATTGCGACGGCACCCCTGGATGCAAATTGTTTGTGTGGTCGTCATACAACGGCGGGACCTGCTGGTTAAAGTCGGAAGTGGGCGTCGAGGTCACAAGCGTAGGCGTCAAGTCGGCGGTGTTGATAAACCCCACAACGACAACCGCTGCCCCGTCGACGACGCCCCCGTTGCCGGATCCCGACCTTTGCACGCCTGCTGAAGCCAACTACGACTTTCCAGGCAATGACATCAGATCGGTGTCGTCTCGGCAATTCAAGGACTGCTGCGCCGAATGCTCGGGCACCCCCGGATGCAACTTTTACGTCTGGACAGACTACAACAGCGGCACGTGCTGGCTGAAGTCGAAGCAGGGCGGGAAGGTGGTATCGTTCGGGTCTCGCGCGGCGTTCGCCGCTGCTGGTAGTACACCGACGTGCCTCCCAGTGGAAGCGAACACGGATTTTAGCGGCGAAGACATTGCCGACGTCGCGGGGGCTCCTGACTTGTGCTGCGGCGCGTGCAAAGCCAACGACAAGTGCAATGCGTACAGCTGG